GCCCGGCAGAGGACGAGGGACCCCGGGACCGTGCGATCCGAGACCCCAGCTCAGCCCCCCTGAGTCGGGCGCCCCTGCCAGGGCCGGCGCGCCGTTTGGGGGTCTTCTCTTCCCTCCCCCACCGTGGGAGCCCCATCGCCCTGTCCGTGCTTCTTCGAGACAGACTGACGGATGAGCGCCCGCACTCGAAGCGGGTCCCCGCGATAACCGCTCTCTGCCTCCCCAGCCCTGGGGAAGGGGGCCTGCCTGAGGACACGACCCCTCCCCCCTTCGCCGGTCTCGCATCCCCCACCCAGTCAACGCCCGCCAGAGTTTCTGAGCTCGGCGGGGGCGCCCAAGGGTGTCGGCAGCGTTCGGGAGGGGGTGAGGGAGAGGGCAGGCGAGGGCGGGAGTTGAGAGAGGAGCAAGAGCCCCCAGCCCTCTCCTAACTGGGGGCGACCCTGCCAGACTCCAGAGAGTGAGGACGAGAAGGGGTTGAGTGAATCTGCGAGGGCTGCGGCTTTGCGGGAGAGGAGTGGTCGGGTCTGCAGGCTGAGGCGCCCCTCTCTGCCAGTCTGGACACGTGGGCCCTTATTCCCAACTCTTGCCCTTTGGATTGGTAGGGGGAGGGGGCCGGGGAGGGCATGGAGAGAATGGCTCCGGGAAGCCAGAGGCGGGGGCTTACTAGGGGCTGTGGTCCAAGCCCAGCGTCCGCGAGGGAGAAGCCCTGCGCTGGCCTGGGCTCAAGGGGTGGGAGTCCAGGGCCCTGGCCCAGCCTCCCGGCCCGGCCTATTTTTAGCTCAGAGCAGCCTGGCAGAGGCGGCGGTGTATGAGAGTGTGTGAGCAAGTGTGTGTCTCCGGGAGAGTGAGCATGTGTGTGGAGAGGGTGACCACCCGTGGTCGCTACTACCGCCCATTTGCTAAATATTTGCTCATTTGCTCACTGCTCCATCTCCTTTCGTGTTCTCTGTCCCTTCACCTAGACACCCCCATTCCTAAAGAATACCCACTTCCCACAAGGACACACCTCTATTTCCCCCAACTGGCTGCCAGCTTCCAGGGCTCTGGCTGGGCCTCCCCACCTGGAAAACTCTGATCTCTTGAGATGGGCTGGAGACAGTGTTCTTTCTGTTGCTCCAGCTCTTTGGTAGGATAAGGGCTGGATGTGAAGGGAAAGGCCTGGTACACACACATCTCTTACATCTTGAGCTTCCCAGAGTGTAGGGAGGGATTAGGGACTGTGTCTCCAGCCTCTCCCTGGCCTGGGAGGAGCCGCATCTCCAGACCTCAAGATGTGATAGTAGGAGGGAGGTTGGTGAGACCACAGACAGCCTGAGGATGGGGATGGGAACGAGCCATGAGCACAGGGAGCCTTCCCTTGGAACTGGGAAAAAGGCTGCTACTCCTGGAGGCAGGGGACTGGCTAAGACAACCTCAGACCCAGGGGAAAGGGCCCAAGAGTGTTGGCTGTGGGTTTAGGAGCGAAGTTCTAAGCAGAACTGCCTTCCACAGGCATAGACAAGGCTCGCTACCTGACACCTGCGTCTGTTTGGTGTTAGAGGAGGCAGGTGTAGGTGTGTGTTGGGAGGAGGAAGAGGAGAGGGGGAGGCCAGCTGGGCCAGGGGTCTAGGGGGTCAGGGGAGGACCATGAAGCAGCACTCAGGAACCAGAGAGAAGAAGACAGCAGAGACTTCGGCCTGCTGTTCTCCCATCTTCAGAAATCTGTGTCTGCTTGGTGCGAAATCCGACCTGCAGCCTCACCTCAGCCCCTCTTGCTGTGTTACCCAAGTGTGTGGGCAAAAATCTCCAGGCTTGGCAGGAGCACCCAACCCAGACCGACTTGAGAGGGCAGCAGGAGTTGGAAACTCTGAGTTATGGAGCACAGAGTGGCTGGGGATGGAGGGGTGCCCATAGCTACCAGATCTCTGGCATGACTGGTTTGGAAATAAATCAGAAGCAGAAGCACCAGGTGTCCTTGAGAGCTAGGATTTGAGATAGGGGCAAGGAGAAAAAAAAAGAGACTCGTTTCCTAGTAGTTCGGGTGCCTGGAGGTGCTTCAGGGAGTCTAATTTTACTCCCTCCTGCTGTAGGACATCAAAATTCTCAAGGACACTGAGTGCTTAGAATTGTTGTCCAAGGCAAGGATATTGGTTAAGGAAGGGACCTGTCCAGAGCCCTGCTGCCCTTTCTGTCACACTTTTAGTCTCTTCCTTGGGCTCCACAGCCCACCCTCTCCCTGTCTTCAGCTCCCCTCCCCCAGGACAGGAAAGAAATGGAGAGGAGTCCTCTCCTAGGAGAAGGCTGGCCTCTCCCCACATGCATGAGGCACACATACCGGCCTGCTGGCCCCCAGTACATTTGCACCAGGAAGAGCCAGAGATGTGCAGTGCATGCGTGTATGCACATGTGCGTGCACACACTCACACACCACTAATACTGCTGCCAGGGACCTTGAAATGTCACCAAAAAAACCAGATAGCACTGGATTCTCCTGAGAAAACAATCCCTACCCCAAGCTACCCCTATGCTATGCGCCTGTTTCTTCTACAGGGAGTCCCTCTCTCACACCAACCCTGCCCCTCTTGCCATGGCTGGTACCCACTTTCTGGGCATAAAGAAGGGCTCATGACTTACCACCCCCACCCCCATGGTAATGACTCTAAATAATGGACACACAGAGATAGGAATTTGATCATTCAGTGTCCTTAGCCTACTCCTCTCAACCTTGGGAGGTTTTTAGCCTCTTTCCCAGCCCCATTTGTCTTCCCTCCCCTCTTCTGCCCGGGAGGGAGCTGCAGGGACTCCAACCCCACAGTTCTCTTCATTTCCAAGGCTCCGGAGAAAAGGGGGAAACTACGTGTCCCAAGGGTCCTTGGACTGACTTCAACAACAATCAACTTTATTGGCAGCATTACAAAAGGACAGAGACAGGGAAAGGGGGCTCAGAGGCCCAGCAGTCAATCAGCTCTTATATGTTAATTTCTTAGAATGGGACCCTGGAGCCCAGGATGATTTTTCAGCTGAGTGTTAGTCCCCAGCCAGAGTCCTGCCTGCCTCAGGCTCCTCCTCATATTGTATTTACCATGACAAGGATTTCTCAAGACTGTATTTCCTGACAAGTCAGAAAGGCGGTGTGTCCAAGGATAGGGAGGGGATGATGCAGTGAGGAGCCCGGGCCAAGGAAATGCCCAGTCAGCCCTTCCTTCCTTGTGCTGTCCTCCCAGGCTGGGTGGGGACTGAGGTGCTGCCCACAACAGGTTCCAGTCCGTGTGGGGAGCGGGCTGGGGGGCTGAGGGGAAGAAAGCGTTGTGCCCTCTCCGGTTATTTCTGAGCATTGATCCAGGATGGACGGAAAGACAGTGGGCCAGAGATCGATGCCTTAGCACAGATATAGCTGCTGAGATGGAGAGCTGGGGCTAGGGCCCGGGGAGATGCAGTGACAGAAAGGGGGTTGGGGGAAGCAGGGAGTGGGGTGGCTCTGGGTCCCCAGGGGAGAGGGAGGAGCCCAGGAATGTCCACCCTGAGACCACAGGGTCAGTGTACTGCGGCACTTTTTGAGGTGTGTTAAGTGGGCAGCTGGGATTTTGTTGCTGAGGGAGTGGGGCTTTGATGCTTCCACACATACCTGACCTCTTCCCTCAGATCCGGAGGCGCCGCCCCACCCCTGCGACCCTCGTGCTGACCAGTGACCAGTCATCCCCAGGTAACCCCAGATGGATCGCTGAAGGGAGCAGGGGCTGCTGAAGACAGCTGGGTCCCAGTGAGAGAGGGTGGGTGCTAGGGAGAAGGGCAGATCTGAGGAGCCAGAGATCTCTGACCCAGAGACAGGAAAGTGATGGCTAGATTAGCAGGAGGATTTCCTTCAGAAAGATGGAGCAGTGCTAGGGAGAGGAGGGAGACCACCTGGTTCCCAAGCCCCCCAGGAGTTGGGGTGGTCAACAGAGTACCGGTTGCTGTGGCAACTGCTTTCCAGTTTTCTCCAGCAACTGAAAGGCTGCTGCCCCCACCCCCAGAGGCGGTGACAGCTGTGACGGGGAGGGACCGCCTCCATCAGCTCTCTTCCTGGCCCCCAGAGGGGAAAGGGGAAGGTTAGAAACAGCTCAGGGACCAGCTGGCATTCTGGTCACCAGTGTCCCCATCAAGATCTGGGGAGAGAACAAGGTCTCAGAGAATGTCAGGGGAGCTGGTGGGCGAGTAGCAGAGAGGCGGTGATGCTAATAAGCCAGACTGGAACTCAGGATGCCTGAGTCTCCAACTTTCCTCCAACTACTAAAAAGGACTATAACCTCCCGGCCCGGCGGAGGACGCATTTGCTGTTCTTTACCTGGTGTTCCCTCCTAGGTGTTCCCTCCTAGGCGTGGTTCAGTCCTGGATCTGGGCAGGGGGAATGGTTTGAAGGGGAAAGAGATGGATACTTCAGAAGAAGGAAAAAAGGAAAAGGACCACAAACTCTGCCTTCAGGAACCTCCAGGTCTGAGGCAAGAATAGAGATGCCGATGACTACAGAGTCCAGGACAGTACAGGAAGCAGCAGATAAAACCGGGCAGGAAGGCAGGAGGGAGCTGGAGGATGGAGGTTGGGGACAGCCACCAGGGCCAGCTTCCTGGGGGCAGATGTGAGGGATGGATCAAGAAGGAGGTGACTGCAGAGGCTCCTCCCCTTGGGAAGTCCGCTTGGCGGTGGTGGTGGGAGGAGCCTGGATTTCCCATTCTCATCACTTTCTTCTTTCCATCTTTCCCTCAGAGATAGATGAAGACCGGATCCCCAACCCGCTTCTCAAGGTGAGCTGGTCCCTCCCACTCAGCCCAGCACAGAGAACCCCCAGACTCATTAGGGAATTATCCCTCAACTCCCCACCAATCTGTAGGACGTTTTGGCTCCCTCTTCCCTGTGCCCCTAGCATGGGCTTGAGTGGATGCACACACACACACCCCTGTGTCCCCCACACACAGACTCCGTGCTCATCATGAGGGGTGGGGGGCAGGAGTTTTCTTCCCCTACTTTCTGAAGCCCACAGCTAGTCCAGAGGGGGAGGGTGAGAAGGGCCAGCGCCCACCTGTGCTCTGCACCCTTCACAGCCGGCTCTGTCCATGTCTCCACGGCAACGGAAGAAGGTGACGAGGACCACACCCACAATGAAAGGTGCGGAAGACCCTTCCCCGCCACACCTGATGCTGAGCGGCAGCCACATTGACCCCTTTGGAAGGAATCCTTGGGAAGTTGTTAAATCTGCCTTTATTAAAGGAGGGTTGTTGCTGGACCAACCAGGGCTGGGTTCTAGCCCTGACACCAACTAGCCTGGTAGCCTGGGAAAACTTAACCTCCAGGGCCCTGCATACTGCCTCCCTTTGGCAGATAAATTAAGTGTGTGAACTCACCCACAGAGGGCACAGCACATAGGAGGCGCTGTAATATTTCTTGAATCTAAATTGAGTCTTTTCTCCTGACCCCAAGGGAGACCATGTATCCCAGCTAGTCAGGAGGCTCTTTTGTTCTTAAGCCTCTTCCCTTCCCCGCCCCCACCTTTGAAGGAAGTAGGTTTTATTGTCTAGCTTTAGTGCCTCCTTATTGCACAGAGAACATCCTTCTTGACTGGATCTCGGGACAGAAAAGTCAAACCACACAAGGCAGTGAGTGCCGGCCCTGTAGTGGGGCTGTCGAATTTGAGGGTCCATGGAGGAGTCTGGGAAGTCATGCTCTCTCCCTTTCTCTGTGCCCCCAGAGCTCCAGATGATGGTTGAACATCACCTGGGGCAACAGGAGCAGGGAGAGGAGTATGAAGGAGCCACTGAGAGCACAGGGACCCAGGAGTCCCGCCCAGCTGGGATCACAGACACAGAAGCGGAGTCAAGGCCGGGCACCTCTGGGAAAGCACACAGTACGTTCAGGCTGGGGAGGGGCCAGCCCAGGGGGAGGCCAGCCTTGCCCAGTCACTGCAGAGAGAGGCCCAGGGGGAGCCATAAACTGTCTGGAGAGTATGGATTCTTTGTACATACGAGGCAGTGGCTGTGTTTTGCATCTCTTCACCTTTCCTTCCGGGATGACACCATCCCCTCCCAGCTGGGACTTCAGAGCTCCCTGTTGTATGGGGGGAGCCCACCATAATGGGAGCAGCACTGGGGCTAGAATCCTGGCTCTGCCTCTTTACCAGCCCAGAGGCCTTGAGCAACTTACTTAACCTCAGCCTATAAAGCGATCACGATGGCGCCTTGGATTGTTTGTGAAAATTACACGAGACCAGTCCTGAGTCCAGCGGCGGACACACAATGCGTGCAATCAGTGGGAGCTGAGTGCCCACGGGCCCTTATCCCAGATGTAGGCCAGAATTCAGAATTTTTCCAGTTTTACGAAGGTAAAGCGTATATATACTGTATGTTACCTCCTACCCCGAGCAGAAACACATTAATATTTCTGCAGTGAAATGAATGGTCCCACTCAGTGGAATAAATAGACTATAAAAAGCCTCATCTCCTGTTCAGGTCAGGTGTAACCACACATTGAGACCTTACCCAAATTTTTAAGCTTTTTTAGAGGTTGTTTTTTTTTTCCTGATTGCAGATTTAAAAAAAAACAAACCAGTGAACCTAAGTAACAATTGTGACCAGAGAAAACCTTGCTGGTCCTGGGCTCCTCTCAGGGGTCACAGGAGCACAGGACAGGGTGAGCAGAAGCAGCGCCCCCTCTCCAAGCCCTCATGAATAACCACCCCTCCCTCCCACCACTCGTTCTCCCTCCCCAGAACCTGCAGAATCCATCCCGAAAACTCAGGGGAGGGGCAGTGAGAAACCCAGCACAGAAGACCCCTCAACCCATATACCACCACTGGATTCCCAGGGAGCCAACTCGGTAAGAGCCCAGGGCGGGGCTGTGGGCCGCAGGACAGCGGGCTGTGTGGAGAGGGCAAGGGCGAAGATCTGGAGTCGAGAAGAAGGAGAACCAAGGACCAGCTTCAGTCACTGAAAGGCTATTCTCTATGGCCAGAGGACTGGCCTCTCCCCTGACAGACCAGCAGAGAAGTGGGATTAAGCTGCAGCAGGAGGGACTGAGGTTAGACTCTGTCTCAGGATTTCCAGCTCCTGAAATGGGTGATAGAAGAAAGCCACGGAGTTCCTGATAAAGGGCCTTTGGAACCCAAGGGGAGGGCTTCACCTGTGTAGGCTGAGAGAGCAGTGGTCCTGCCGCAGTAGAGAGGCTGACGGAATAACCTCGCGAGCTTTGACTTTACAGTCGCCCCTCCCCTGTGTAGACTGGACAAGGAGGGCAGCCGCTGGGGTCAGACAGCAGAAGTTCGAGACTAACGGGATGGTTGGACGGGCAGTAGGACCCCCGGCCTCTCACTCACCTCTTTCTGCCCACTTCCTCACAACAGGTCTGAGAGTAAAGGAGGTATCTTGGAATCAAGACTGCAGTTGGGAATGCATGGACACTGGAATTGTTTCTTATTTCTTCACTTTTGGGGAAAATTTCTTGTTTTTAAAAAGTGATAAATTTGGTGTTAAGTCCTTGGCACTTTCCTTCTTTCCAGACTTGGAGCATCTTTTCTCCCTCCCCTCTCGTCCTGCCCTCTACATAGCCCCCTTCTCTTCTGCCCAGCTGCCTCTGGAAAGGAAGGAGTAAATATGGAAGCTGGGCAGGAGCCTTGGGAAAGGAGTTTTTTCCCAACCCTATCCTTACTTACTGGGGGTCAGACAGGTGGGAGGACTGACTCCTAGGGTACCAAGAAGGAAGGATGGCCCCAGGTTCTCTTCATATTGAGGAAAATGTATCACCATCCCGCAGCTGGGAGACTAGGAGCCCTAAGGCCAGTCCGGCTGCGGCTGTGCTGTGGGCGCCATCTGCTGGACACAGCTAGGAAGTGCACCTGGGCACGACCCATGGGAAAGAGCAGGTGTTGCGTGGATGCCTCCCTGCCTGTCCTGCAAGGCTCAGTGAGTCCCAGGCTTCAGGATGTGTTCCCTCCTCCAGCTGTGAGGAGACCACCACCCCGGTTCCAACCCATTAGCAAAGCTGGATGGAGAAGACAGTGGCTATTCACAAAGAGGCCCTTGCTAGGAACTGGAAAGGTCACCTCTCCCCTTTGTCCTAGACATTGAGGACACAGGGTCAACGACAGCAGCTGAGCAGAGAAGAAACTTCCTCAGACCCCATAGCCAGGCCTCTCCTACCCACTGCTTTTGATTTTTCCCAACAATGGAGGCGAGCAGGGAGGAGGGAAGGCAAGTTTTGCCCCTGTTTACTGAAGTAGTATGATGGAGAGAAAAAAGAACTTCAGAAGTTCTTGTGCTGCTGGGCGCCCTCGGGCAAGACCTCGCCTCTCTGGGCCTCCGTTCACCCCTCCCCACATGAAACAGGGCGAACACCGCACCAGGATTTTATTGAGCGTGAAGAGACAGTGTGCGCGAAGATACCCAGTGAACGACACTCACGGCCAGGCCTGGTCTCTCCTCTTTATTGACCTCTGGTGATAGCAGGGTGCTGGGAGTCCAAGGGCAGGGGTGAGTCACATGCGTCTCTGCCCCACTAGGGGTGGGGCAGGAGGGACAAGTGGCAGGTGGCAGGTCTAAGAGACCGTGGATATGACTTCACATGAACAGGCCCACTGTACAAATGCATGGTTGGTATTTACAAGAAAGGAGGAGGGGCAGTCGCCTGGACCTGGAACTTTCTGGGGACAAAGCGGGAAGAGAGGAGCCTGAGGAGAGGAAGGGGCAGAGGCCTGGCTGGGCTCTCTTCAGAGGACACTTTTGACAGCAGCAGACCTGAGCTCTTCCCCATCTGCCCCCCTCCACTCCCCATTTG